AGAGAGAGAGAGAGAGAGAGAGAGAGAGAGAGAGAGAGATTATTGCTTATTGGAGAAGTGGAGCAACATCAGTCCATTACAAGGTGAGGCGAGTCCCCCTTATATAGGCGAGGGGACTCGGTAGAATATGCATTTATTATTTACAAGAGTAGAAAGATGGGACGGCCTATTACTCGTCATCTCAGTAGGGTACAGATAGACCGGCTCTGTCATGTGTAGCCATGCTCCTGGGAGACTTCTTCTTCTATTTCGACCTTGGACCCTGCCCTCTTCGATTCGAGCTCCAACGATCCCTAAGACCGAGAACTTGACCGAGGCCTTCCATCCTCGGGGTTCCGAGGAAGGCTTCTGTATATCTTGATAGCAGAAAATCAAGTCATCTGATTTTACCGCGTATATCAATATTTTCATTTCCAAAATCAGCCTCCAATGTCCTCCATATATCATGAGCAGAGATGCAAGAGGACACCTTGTAGAGAACACTGCTTGGTAAACTTATACAGAGCAGATCTTTTGTTTTTCTAGATCATCTGACAATCTTCAGCATCATAATCCTCCTCTCTCTTGATAATTGTGTTTCCTTCACTATCCACTTTGGTAGGGAAAATTGGTTCTTGATTGACAATTATCCATAGGTCAAAATCAGTAGCCTGAAGGAACGTTTACATACGCATTTTCCATTCATCATAGTGGTGTCCATCAAACAGAAGACGTCTTTCAATGTGCATTCCTAGCTATACCGAAGGTTCAGTCTTAACCGCCTTGTGTGCATCTGTCACTGCATAAAGACTTATAGCATTATCTTCCTTTTCTTCCTCTTTATTACTTCCATTGTCCTCATATGCTGCTAGAAAGGCTTGTTTCATGGCCTCAATGAATCCTTTTTCCTAGGATTTTGCCTTTGTTTAGGCCTTTCTCTTTCATTTTTTTCCCTTCTTCCTTTTCAGGTCTTTCTTTCTTCCATTCAATTTTCCACATGGGACAGTCCTTGACCATGTGATCCAACTTGTTGCACTTATGACATCTATCGTATGAAGAGTTATCGATTTGCTTAGATTTTCCACTATTTTCTCTCTTAGATGTATTCTTGGAATTCTTCATGAACTTTTTGAACTTAGCAAACATTGCTAGGTCGAGTTCATCATTGCCATATTTATCTTCTTCAGGTACACTAAGAACAAGGCCTTATCTCTCTCTAGCTCCTCCTTGCACAATTCCAGCTTTCTCATCTCATGGGTCTTTAAGTTTCCAATCAACTCGTCCTGTGAAATCTTATCCATCTCCTTTGCTTCCTGGATGGCTATGACCTTTGATTCCCATGAAGCTAGGAGAATCCTTAGAACATTGCTAACTAATTCTTCAGAAATGAACCTTCCCAACTAATTTCAGTTCACTTGTTATTATGGTAAACCTAGTCATCATCTCTTGGATGGGTTCAGACTTCTATATAGAGAAGAGCTCATAATTCCTCATAAGCAGCTCAAGCCTTGATCTCTTCACTTGATTTGTTCCTTTATGAGCCGTTTGAAGTGCATCCCAAATCTCCTTTGCATTAGAGCATGCAAATATCCTGTTGTACTCATCAGGACCAAGTCCACAGATGAGAATCTTCTTGGCCTTTGCATTCTTCTCCATCATTCTGAAATCTGATGCCACGAATTCAGAGGGGTCTTTAGGAGCAGTTTCATTTTGCTTCATTTTTTTGGTTGGCGTTAGTGGTCCTCGATTCACTATTGTGCATAGTTCATAGTCTTCAGCCGTTAAGAAATCTTCCATTCTTGTCTTCCACCAACTGTAGTATTTTCTGTTGAACAGAGGTGGTCTAGTAGTTGACTGTCCTTCATTAATTCCAGGTGGGGCACTCATTTTGCTTTCAAGATCTCTCTAGGTGTTAACCACGTGTGAGAGAACCCGCTCTGATATCAATTATTAGTTTAAGTGCCTTCCTAAATTACTAAAGAACTTGGTTGTTTACCTTACTCCTTAGGCATAAATAAAATAAACAGCAAAAAAAACAGCATTTTTTACGAGGAAAATCACCTGGCTCAAAGGTTCAAAAACAACGACCTACCACGTAGGATTTTAACTTCAACTTCACTAAAACAAATGAGCAAAATGTACCGATTACAAGACCTGTAAATCAATACCACACAGTTCTCCTACTTCAACTATTTAACTTACAAGCTACTCTAACTTGCAAATTCAAACAATTACTTCAACTCGAAAATTATGTATGACACCTTGATTACAACTCGATTTCTTAATACACATTCACTAACTGACTCAAGAAGAACACTAAGACTAGTAACCGACTTGAGCAGTTGACGTGCAAAAAGATGATGTCCTCAGTCCATCAAGAAAGTATTTAAGTTTAATGGGCTCCAAGATATTTTAGGAGTCTTATGCATAGTCAACTTCTCATTTGATTGAACTCCTACAGTTCTTATGATTCCACAAATCGTGTGACTCATGTCTATCATATATGCGAGCATAACTTCTTGGACAACGACCCTTATTATATTAACAGCCTTCTTCCAACAATCCCGGACTAGAGTAACTTGGTGAAAAAGTTACTGTCTAGTAATAACCTTCAACAGCGACCTTGAGGAACTGCTTCTTAGAGTACTTCATCAGCTACCTTGAGGACTTGGTTCTTAGCGCACGTTCTCTGGACACACTTTGTTAATCATCAAAACCCCAATACTCAATAGATTCTACCCCTATTTTGATATTGTTCAAAAATAAATTCCTTGTTATAATTTCGTGTAGGACTATTCTACGAAAGTAAACTATAAATATTTAGTCAGTCTGAAGTTGAATGGTGTCTTGTTAGACCTAACTAATACAACTGACAAAACTGGCCATATCCCGTGCTTATCTCTGGTACATAAAGTTGAATCATTGTGTCTAAGATTCAAGAAAATCTCTACTTAATAGTAGTTAATACGACAAGGTAGACTTAACTTATACACATGTTCATTTTACCTATGGTTGTTTGCTTTATTTTCTTAGTTACCAATATAGATACTATATATCATTTTAGATAGTTACATGTAGGTCTTTTTCTCTTAATGGTATAGAAAAGCTTTATGTTTAACAGTGCACATGAAGTTAAACTCATTCCAAAAATGTGTTGAAATCTTTGTGTACGGCAAAATCGGAGGGTCCAATTTCCCGTCTTTTAAGCATTTTGGAAGATCGACTCAAAGCCTCGAGGCTGCAAAGATATGCTCGAGTCTTCTCCCTCGGGGCCCATCGGCACCCGGCCTCGGAAGGATATTGATCGGGGCTAAAGCAGAAATAGGAGTTTCCAAGACACGGCTAAGTCTGGCAAAGCATAGCCAGGCTATTCTGAGCCCTACTCGATGTGTCATTTCAGTCGTCCCATCTACACACCTTTACAGCTAATGTGTGCCTTACCGTATAAACTTCTCCCCTTCTATATAAAGGGGATTCTAATTATTTTGTAGAGGATGGATGTTGCTCCAAAGGCTCTATATGAAATATATGATAACTCTCTCTCTTTCTCTCTAAGATACTCTCTCTCGACACTGTTGATTCTATCTTATTATTTTCATACTTGTTCCACATTCATTGTTCATTTATTGCTTACCATTGGCTATAAAGATCCTCCTTTAATATTATTGCATCTGTTAGCCCTTCCCCGATTTCCCCAGATAGCTCGAGCCCGAGCTCGAGACTCCACCTCGAGGCCCTAAATCGACCAGCTCGAGGCCCCGAACGGTTATCTCTCAGTTCGATTACTGCTTTATTTTAGCTCGCGTCTCACCCTCAAACTACACACTCACAGAATCAACTGCTCCACGACTAGCATAAAAATAGATCACATATTTTTGGAGTCCCAATAACAAATTTAATTGTTATTACCATTTTCACGGTAAACAGTTTGGCGCCCACCGTGGGGCTAAAAATAATAGTGACTATTTTCTTGCTAGTTTTGTCACACAATGCAAGTTATCTTTCACACTTCTTCTTTTCCAAGATCTTCGATTGCAGGTCAAAATGTCTAGCTCAGTGAACAGAGTTGACAACAACAACCTCGAAAACCACAGAGAAAACGGTTTAGCAGTTCCGATCATCGGTGCGCCAACACTGAACCCCGATGATGCGCCTGGACCGATTCAAGCGGAGGCGGGTTCACAAGACGCACAGCAGGTCGACGAAACCTCACGAACCGACAGAAATGTACAACAATACGACCAACAGGAAGCCCAAAAAACCCCCAGCTCGCGAAGAACAGGAAGTTAGCCTTCATGTTATCTTTGAAATGTTGCAAGCACAACAGCTGGCTATCGCTCAGCTGCAACGCAATCCAAAAACTCCCAGCACCGTAGCACCAGGAATAACTCCCCCGGCCGAACAGGTACCGGAGAGACTAAGCAATAATGGTTCGACGACCGATCCTGCTATCATAAAAATGCTCGAGGATCTTTCTAGAAGGATCGAGTCGGGCGAGATGATGATAGCCTCCAACGACAAGAAAGTCGAAACTTATAACTCCAGGGTCGACCAAATCCCGGGCGCACTCCTGGTCCTGAAAGGCGTAGACTCGAGAAAGTTCATGCAGCGGCCGTTCCCAGAGGAAGCGGCTCCGAAACCCATCCCAAAGAAGTTCAGAATGTCGTAACTCCCGAAGTATAACTTGACCTCAGACCCCAACGAGCACGTCACCGCCTATACGTGCGCAGTAAATGGCAACGACATAAAAGACGACGAGATCGAGTTCGTCTAACTGAAAAAGTTCGGAGAAACACTCTTAAAGGGGGCCATGATGTGGTACCATAATCTAATTCCCAACTCCATAGACTCATTTACATGCTGGCGGACTCCTTCATAAAGGAACACGCCGGTGCCATCAAAGTAGCAACGAAGAAGTCTGACGTATTCAAAATCAGGCAAATGGAGAACGAAATGCTGCGAGAGTTCGTGTCTCGCCTTCAAACGGAACGAATGTAACTACCCCGATCTCTAACGACTGGGCGGTACAGGCCTTCACTCAGGGCCAGAACGAGCGGAGTTCTGTGGCCTCACGGCAGCTAAAAGAAAACCTGATCGAGTATCATACCGTACCCTGGTCGGATGTCCATAACCGATACCAGTCAAAGATCAGGGTCGAGGATGATCAATTGGGAGCCCCTTCGGGCTCAGTATACCCAAACAGGCTCTTATCAAAAGAGTCGAACCCGAACAAAGAAAGGTATCAGCTATACACCGAAGATAGGAGAAACACCCTGAGACGCAACCCACCTTGCAACGACCGACCGGTCAACCGAGGGCAGAACCCCTGAGGGTTCATTAGCAGAGCCGGTTCGATGGAGACACAGGGCCAACAGGGGCACCACGCCTATCAGAGTACAACTTCAACGTTGACATTTCAGACGTCGTGTTCGCCATCGGCAAAATCAAGGATACCAGATGGCCCAGGCCTGTACAGTCGGATCCTTCCCAAAGGAATCATAACTTAATATGCGAATTTCACAACACGCATGGCCACAAGACCGAGGATCGTCACCAGCTGCAAGAAGAACTGGCCAGGTTACTGGACAACGGTCATCTCAGAGAATTCTTGAGTGACCGAGAAAAGAATCAGTTCTGAGGAAGGGAGGCATCCAAGAAGAATGAAGTAAACGAGCCACAACACATTATTCACATGATATTAGGAGGGATCGACGCTCCTCAAGAACCCGTTTTGAGAAGGACAAAAATTTCCATCACCAGAGAAAAGCGAACCCGGTGATACGTACCCGAAGATGCACTCACATTCAGCGAGGAGGACTCCGAGACCCTGTCTCAACCTCATAACGACGCACTGGTAATTTCTTTCCTCGTAAATACATTTTAGATAAAACATGTACTCGTGGACCCAGGTAGCTCGGCCAACATTATCAGGTCGAAGGTAGTAGAGCAGCTCGGACTACTAGACCAAATCGTGCCCGCCACTCGGGTCCTCAACGGATTTAACATAGCAAGCGAGACAACAAAGGGAGAGATCACTCTCCCGGTCAGCGTGGCCGGCGCGACTCAAGACGTCAAATTCCATGTCATCGAAGGAGACATGAGGTACAACGCCTTGTTCGGGTGACCGTGGATACACTGCATGAGAGCGGTACCGTCCACACTCCACCAGATAATGAAATTTCGAACAAAAGACGGGATTAAAACCGTCCATGGGAAGCAACACGCGGCAAGTGAAATGTTCGCAGTGCACGACGCTGCACCGACGCCAATATCTCCGCTCTCGAGAGAGACTAAGGACAATCAAATTACATCTTCGGCTAAGCCTGATTGAACACAGCGGTGGACCGTACTGAGTCCTCGTCGCGATCAATAGAGGCGTACCAGACCTCGGAACGCTGCCAAAGGCATCCCGCAATAAGGTATAACCATCTCCCCTTTCAGTTTATATTTCATACTAATCCTTTCATATAGGTGATAACTAGGGATTATGATGCATTTTACACTCCGTATTACTTGAGTTTTGATTAGAAATGTGTACAAAATAGTCCCGAAGGCTTACGTGTTGTACTTGATTGCAGGGTTTGATCAACAAGGTGACAATTCGCCAAAACCAGCTCAGAAAGGAGTGAAACATGCGCAAGTACCAAGAACAAGTCCATGCTCAGTGTTTCAGGACCAATGCGGCCGCACTCCATTCTGTGCGGTCCGCAAAGAAGAATTTCAGAGAGCACTCATCTCAGGCAGCAAAGCAATGCGGCCGCACTCCATTTTATGCGATCTGCAAAGAAGAGGTTCAGAGAGTGTTCATTTTAGGCAGCCAAGTAATGCGGCCACTCCATTCTGTGCAGTCTGCACTGACTTCATTGCGGCCGCACTCATTTTTGTAC